TTTGGACGAAGTACACGACGTATTCGTGACCCAGCAATGCTTTCCAAACTGTACCTTTCGCGCGTGATTTTGCGTCCATTCTGCACTTCTCTCAGGCTCGTGCATGGCAACGAGCTTGGTGAGAGCCGGTCACGACGTCCTACTTTTCGACGGTGGGTGTCCTTCACCAGCCTACGCTTATGTGTATTGTGCTACTGTACGAGAGACCGTAGTCCATCGGTATGTAGAAAGAGAATATCGATAGTGCGTATGAGACCGACTGATTATTCCGTTACTTCGATGGCGGGGTGCCCAGGGTGCCAGGGTGACAGGGTGACACTCGAAGGCCAGCTGTCATCCGGGTCTGAAGGCTACTTGTATGCGCGGTGTGGCCTGTGCATCCAATTGGCTTCAACGCGGAAGTGAGGGGGAAGAGGCAGTGAGTCAGTCCTTCAACAAAGCGTTCCTACACGCCCCTTTGGTCCTCCAGACCGTCCAGATCTTTCTTCGAAAATTCCGGTGGTCGTCGACAGTTCTGCTTCTGCTTCTGCCCCCGTTCCTCAAAACTTGAAAACTTGTGCATCTTTTCAGGCTGTATCTCGTACTCGATAAATGACTGCTCCAAAGGTACGTGCTGCGAAATTGCTATATTTGGTGTGAAAAACATCACACTGGAGCTGTCACGTGCTGCGTCTCTCCCGCGGAAACTGCCGCTGCTGTTGCTATATTCGGTACCAGGGTTACCCTTAAACAAGTCAGGAAGCTCTCACACACGATTCGTTGTTTAACGAGGACAACGCCCTCGTTTTGTGCACGACATAACCTCCCCTAGAGCAGTTGATGTACGTAAAGCCAAGACTGTGGCAGCTGATACCGGCGCCACGGCGGCATCATCCCTGAAAGAGGTCGCCCAAGCGAGTCCCTTCATCGTCACGATGTTGCCGAACTCTTCGAACGTGGAGGAAGTGTACCTGGGGGGAACCTCCCACCATCGCCGAGAGGGGGCTACGACCGATGGTCCTTCCCTATCAGCGGAGAAGCAGCGCGTGAGACAGGCGGGGAACGGTGACACCGAGACTGAGCGAGGGCTTCTGGATTGGGTTCCGTCGGGGACTCTGGTGGTAGACAGCAGTACGATTGATCCGCTCGCTTCAAGGAGGGTCAACGACATCGCCGAGAGCAAGGTGAAAATGGGCAGGCGAACGAGGGCCGTCCCGCTCTGTTTTCGATGCGCTTTTGCCGACATGTCCGTTGGATGCCATGTGTGATTCATGCTTGGTTGCACGCCTGGGATATAGCAGTGCCGCGTACGACGTTCGGGGACAGTCACACGCTAGTTGTGAGTGTTCTTCTGTTCGTTTCGTAGGGTCAGGATGCGTACGACCACCTCAGAAGCTGGGAGTGTTCACTCTATTCCCGTCTTTTTTCCCGGAACCCCCAGGGGGTTACGATGGTTGATGCCCCTGTCAGCGGAGGGGTCCCCGCAGCGGCAAACGCCACTCTCACCTTTATGGTAGGCGGGACTGACGAGGGGATGGAACTTGCTCGCCCTCTGCTGATGGCGATGGGATCAAAGGCCGTACATTGTGGGGACGCCGGTGCCGGGTGCATCGCAAAGGTAGGTCTGAACGTCCGTGTTCGCTTCGTGTACCTTGACATGCAGAACGGGTCGCGCCTTGAGAACTTTGGAGTTCAGAACTTAAGACTAGAACAAGAGAAGGCTACAGTTGTAAGATGTTGGTTGAAAGAACTAATGCGAAACAAAAGGACGAGGATCGGGCAAAGCAAGCGGTTCATATGTAGGGGGGAAGGGGGGGGTGTACTCATAGTCGTGCATGCCGTAGTCGTTAGACCATTGACCTCGCATCCCTACAAAGCCGGGACGGAGCACGCTGGGTTCTCACCGGACCAGGCCCTCACATCACCAAGCGCGAAGCGCCGTGAGATATCCGGCGAGTCGCATGAAGGGTGCGCTGCATCCTGCTAAGGGTTTTCGGCATCTTGTGCTTACTTCCTTGCGTACGGATGACAGCTGCGTATGAATTAATATATTTTCTGGTGCTTTCACTTCCAGAGACAGTTGTAAGCACTGTGCAACTGCCTCGAGGGTGCTTGACCATTTTAACACAACGTGGTGCGATCATCCCCCTTGCGCGGAGTGAGGGTTCTCCACCCCGCACAACATGATCTACTCGACCACCATTATGGTTACCGCCAAAAAAAAAAACGGAGGTAAAAAAAAAAAAGGTAACCTGGTTGCCGAGTTCACGAAGTGAATTGGCTTGTTTTACAACGTCTTTGCCAAGCGACGAAAACCCAATCCCGATGGCAAACACCGGGGGGGGCGGCTTGTTTTACAACGTCGTTGCCAAGCGACGAAAACCCAAGCCCGATGGCAAACGCCGGGGGGGGGGTCATATGTAGGAACGTGTTATATAGGCCATCACCGCTGCGTGTCACATGTTGCGAAACCCACGAAGCAACTTTTCCGAGCACTGCGAACTTGCTATTTTTAGCAGTGTTTGTGGAGGCCAACACGACGTTTAGTAGCATTTCGAAGGTACAGAGAGAAGAGATTTATGTCCCCAACTAACGAAATAACCCTACCTTGCAAGGTTTGACACGGAACTGAGTACTTTCACCCTGCCCCAGCACTCTAACTGATTGGGACTCGTCCTTTTGCAGACCCGGGAATTTCGGCGTATATGTTGCAGTAGTTAACCTGCTGTTCGTGAAGCCGTACTCTGTGCATGTCTCCCTCGACGCTGCAGAAATGGCAAATGCCTCGTTGAGGTCCTGAACACAGTTCCAACGGAGGGCATCTACACCACTAACTTTGAAACATGCCGAAGAGGCGGTCCACTCCTATTCGACCTGGGCTATCGCTATCTTACCCTGACCCTACAATGCTAAGTCTATCGCTCCCCTCCTCTGCCCGAACGGTGTATACTATCGCTCGCCTCTACTGCCCAAAAGGCTTGTACTATCTCAAGCCTGTTCTGCTCAGACGGCTGGCTTTGTCGCTTGCCTCTACTGCCCAAATGGCTTGTACTATCTCTCGCCTGTCCTGGCGGACGGCTAGCTCTGTCGCTTGCCTCTACTGCCCAAACAGCTAACTCTGTCGTTCGACTCTACAACCCAAACGACCAACCATGTCCCTTGCCGCTACCTACACGAACGGCTAGTTTTATCGTTCCCCCCTCCTCGGTTTTGCCATCGGGGTTGGGTTTTCGTCGCTTGGCAACGACGTTGTAAAGCAAGCCGTCCCCCTCGGTGTTTGCCATCGGGGTTGGGTTTTCGTCGCTTGGCAACGACGTTGTAAAGCAAGCCGTCCCCCTCGGTGTTTGCCATCGGGGTTGGGTTTTCGTCGCTTGGCAACGACGTTGTAAAGCAAGCCGTCCCCCTCGGTGTTTGCCATCGGGGTTGGGTTTTCGTCGCTTGGCAACGACGTTGTAAAACAAGCCCATTCACATCGTGAACTCGGCAACCAGGTTATCGTGATTTTTTTTCCCTCCGGTTTTTTTTTGGCGGTAACCATAATGG